GATTAAGTATGTGCTTAAGGGGAAGTAAGACTAAAAGCTATGTGAGTAATGATTTTTGACATGTCATGTTTCATTGGAAATCCCTGAGGCAAACGTTGGAAGGTTTAGGTTATGTTTTCTTTGTTTTGTTTCGTTTTGTTTACTTTAGTTGTTTTGTTTTGCTCGAGGACTAGCAAAAGTTAAGTGTGGGGGAATTTGATAGGAGCATATTTATGCGCCTTAGTTAGCTAGTTCTTATGCATTTTTGTTATGTTTTCTTCCTTAAAGTAGTCTTTTAAGCTACTTTCATGTGTTTTCAGGTTTAAAGGACATATTACATGAAATGATGCAATTGGGAGCTTTTGGAGCAAAACTGAGCTGGAATGTGGTGTATGCAAATGGAGCACGAGGAATGAACGAGGTTGAAGGTCAAAGGAGCTTAAGAAATGAAGAAATGAAAGCGAAGAGCAAGGAAGTCGGAATTGGTAACCAAAGTTTCTAAAGTTGGAAGTTTCTATTCTTGGAGGTTTCCATTGTCGTGAGTTTCTATTCTTGGCTTTGGGCTTTTAGATGACCTAAACCCTAACCTTAGCCCATTTTAGAGCCATTGCCGTGGGCTTTAGCCCAAGTCCTTTCCCTTGCCATGCAAGGGGGGGCATTTTAGGCCCAAATCCATGCATTAAGCCCTTCACCCTAATTGGCCCAAATCCATGCATTAAGCCCTTCACCCTAATTCTTCCTCCTAATTAGTGCATCCCACCATTCCATTCCATAATTTCCATTAGTGCATCCCACCATTCCATTCCATAATTTCCATTAGTGCATCCCACCATTCCATTCACACTTAAATGCCCATTATCCCATTTTTTTTAGCTTTTAATTCCACACCATCTCATTATCCTTTACATCCACTAAACCATGCATCCACATTCACCTAAATAAACCCTAAATTACATCCACTAAACCATCCATCCACCATAATTCCCACCATCCACACCTTTTCCCATCCACCAAATACCTTAAACAAACATCCATTAACACCCATTCTCTTCCTATAAATACCCATTCATTCCATTCACCAAATCATCTCATTCACAACACAACAACACACCACAAACACATTCCTTTCTCCCTTAGAATCCAAAAACCATCTTCCATTTCCACCAATCCTCATCCATTTCCATAATTCCCCAACACTTCCATCCCCCCAACCAACCTATCCTTAAACCTTGTGCTACAACAACGAGGAAGAGAAGAGTGCCTAAACGTTCATACAATTCAAGTTTTGAGTTGTTGGAATGTTTAGGTGTATCTTTGATTTCAAAGTTTCATTTTAATTCTCTTTGTTTTGTACGTATGAGAAATGGAAGAGAAGGGTGCTTAAACGTTCATACAATTCAAGTTTTGAGTTGTTGGAATGTTTAGGTGTTTCTTTGATTTCAAAGTTATGAGGAACTAAACCCCCTTTAGTTAGGGGGTGATTCGAAACTATGTTTATGTTTGTAATATGATTTGATTACTTTTAATTACGTTTCATAAGTTGTGAATTCAATTTGTTTAACTGTTTGATTGATAACCTATTTATGTATGTTTATTAAGAATGAACGCTTAATTTTCATGCATGAATTTGACGCTAGAATATAAGTAAGTTTCACGTAATAGTTATGAACTTATATTCACAAGTAGTGGAGGTTGCTTATAAACAATCGCGTTAAACATATTCTTGGCATAAGTTTCATGCAATCATAGTAACGAATGCCTCGTCAACACTTATAGTTTTCATGATGCTTAATGATTCTTGCTTGTATCTCTATTATGCAATTCATGTAGGGAACTTGTGAGGAATGCTTTGGATTGTCGTATGCAATCATCCAATTCATTAACTTAAGGAAAACTTGACGGTTAATTTAAGCGGACCTAATTAACCCGGGGCGTTGAGAATTCATGGTTTATTGAAAAGCAATTAGACATCGTTTTGTATGCAAGTATAACATATGTGGAGATGAACCCCTTAGCTAGCTTCCCATCCATTCATTTCCGTCAAATCCATATTTACAATTTGTTTTGTTTCCAAGTTTCCATTTTTAGTTTAAAGTCGTCCAAATCCAATCCCCCTTTACTTTATTGTTCAATTTAGTTAGAAATCAATTTAGTTTGTGTTTTTAAAGCATTTTGAGTCTTTTGGTTTGTCTTAATGTTTTAAATTTTAGTTTTGCATTCTTTGAGTCTAGTTTAGTGTTTTATATTGTTTTTACGTTCTTAAGTCAATTTAGAAGGTTTTAGCAAGCCCTCCTAATCCCCGGTCTAGAACGATCCCTCACTTATCCATTCTACTACAATTGTCAAACGAGGGTTTAATTTGAGTGTCAAGTAATTTTCGCACCAATCTTCAAGGGGCGTTGGGCTTGATCTTGAAGAATGGGTGTATGGGTTTGTTGAGGTTGTTGATCCAAAGGGCCGTTGGGGCTTGATATTAGGATGAACGGATGAACGGATGATGAATGATGAACACTTTCTTCAAGGGGCCGTCGGGGCTTGATCTTGAAGGTTGATGGATGAGCGGATCTTCAAGAGCTTTTGGGCTTGATCTTGAAGAACGGTTAGATGTGTAGATTTGTTGATGTTGTTGATCCAAAGGGCCGTTGGGGCTTGATCTTAGGATGAACGAATGATGAACAATGAACATTTTCTTCAAGGGCCATCGGGGCTTGATCTTGAGTTGGTGGAAGTTCTTCAAGGGCCGTTGGGGCTTGATCTTGAAGGAGGATTTGACGAAGAACGAAGAGTGCTTTCTTGATCCTTCGGGATTTTCTTGAGAGCTTTAAAACTTTAAGGCTTCAAGGTTTTGGTGTGTGTGTTTGTCTTGATGGAGAAGCCTATTTATAGGCTTTGAGAGTGAATCACCACCACAAAATTTTCCCACCCAAGCACTATTACCTAATTTTCCCACTTAATGCAATATTGAAATTGAAGTGGTCTAACAAATGGCCTAATTTTCCACTTAATGCAATATTGAAATTGAAGTGGTCTTATTTATGGCCTAATTTCCCACTTAATACAATTTTAAACTTGAAATGTGCTTGTTTTGTCATTGCCCAAATGAGAAAAACTTGCTTTGATCCGTAATGAATTGAAATGTGCTTACCTTGTCATTGCCCAAATTGAGAAGAAAAACTTGTTTAATCATCCAAGGATATTTCTTCCTATTTTGTTGAGTCACATGCCATGTGTACAGTTTGTACGACACGTGGCGTATGTCATGTATGCCCTGACACGTCAAAACTTTAATACGTTGGTGAACATTTGTTTCACTGAAATTTCGATGTCTACAAAAACCTCCCACGTTAGTGGATGGTTTCATGTCATTAACTCATTTCTTCTTCTTTTTTTTTTAAATAATTTTTAAAAATATGTAAATTAATTATTTAAATAAAATATATATAAAAATGTTAATTGCCACACGCATAAAGCAAGAGGCTAGTAAGCCAATAAAAAGATTACATGTATAGTAATAAAAATCATTCGAATACAAATATGCAAGTGGCCGGTCCAGGTTGGTTTATAAAGGCTGAAAACCGTAACCAAAATAATTAATTATGATTAGATTCAATTTTTAAATTATGACATTTCTCTTGTCAAAACGAAATGAAACCGACCATTACTGCTTGCATCGGCCAGTTTGGTTGGTTGTTTCAGATTCACGTCCTTTTAAACTTTACATACCATTAATAAGTTTTCTAGCCATTAAGAAAGAAGGGAGCTTGGCTCTTTAAGATTAAGGAGTTGTTCCTCCTCAATTTATTTCGAGTTAGATTCATAAAATTACGTGTTTATCATAAGAATTATTTATATTATAAATTATTTTGTAAATATCATCTCTATAAATAAATTACTTAAAACTAAGTTTATTTTAACGGTAGAAAACAGATAAACGGTTCATAATACTTTTATCAAATCCGTCCATTTTTTTTTATATAATTTGATGACTAAACGATATAATATTTTACTTAAGTTTTGCAAAAATAATCTTTATAGAGTTATATATAATATTAATAATTCTAATTATAACTTCAAAATTCTATAAACCTACTACGAAGTGAATTGAAGAAAAACTCCACCTCAATAGCGCCAAGTTAATTCTTTCAATGAATGTTTAAAATTAGAAGAAGAGAAGTTGGTGAATTCGATACCGAATTAAACTGTTTATTGTATGACTTAGCCAAACTCCCTCTCCCTTAGTGTAAAAATATTGTTATACTAAAAAAAAAAGAGTGCTACTAGACCCACCCCATTGTCTTATTTCTTCATCCCATTATAATCTCACCCACTATAAAAATTAAAAAAAAAAATCAAAATCTTATTTTCCCACCCTTTGTTATTCCAAAAATAACCTTTATCACAACACTAGCAGCAAAACGCGTCAATTAGCCAACCCAAAATCCCAAAATCCAATACCATTTTCTCAATCTTGTCCACAAGCTATGTATTTCTAGATTTTGTACTACGGCAACAAGTCACTTGCACTTGTAGCAACTATCAAGCAATGAAGTTCGGGGTAATAAAAAAAACAAACTAAAAAGTTAATTACCGCCATGATGACGCTCTAAATCTCCACAATCATTCAAATTCAACGGAAATTGAAATTTAAGCCCCAAACGAGAAGTGACTTGCCCCCAGGGGAGAGGAGCACTCATCTTGCCCTTCCTCCACCACCACAACTTTGTCATGCTCCTCCTGAGCCTTCGTGCTTCCGGTCGTGGTGGTCAATGTAGAAGCCGAGAAAAGAGAGATGAAAAGGAACAGAGAAACAAGGACGGAGAGAGACGATGGAGTAGGGGTTTAAAAGTTTTTTTTATAAAATTATAAACATTTTATTATTACTTTTGAGATTTTTATTAAAATATAGATGAGAAAATAGGACAACAAGATGAGATTATTAGCACACAAAAAAAAAAAAATGAGAAAGAAGAGAAAAATGAAACTACATATTCACCCTCGACAGAATCCAATATTTACTCATGAGTCAAAACAATCCTCAATAATCCCCAAACCCAATCCCTTTACCTCCTCCCCTTTCCTGTCTCCACCCACAAAACAGACACCAAAAGCGAACACCGTTTCCACCACCACCACCAAAAGCCATGTTAACCTCGCCATCATCCTCCCTCCACCACTCTCCCCCCTTCCACTCTAAAACCCTAACCCTAACCCTCACCCCATCAACTCTCAAATTCCAACCAAACCCAAAACCCCAGTCCCATCTCCACATCACCAACAGCAGCAGCAGCCACTGTCTTGTCGGAAACCACTTCTTCCTCAGCGCCAAACGGTTCCCGTTCGTTGTCGCCGCGAGCAAATCCCCGGGAGTGGACGAGCAGAAGTTCAGCCAAGAAGGGTTGGTCACGGAGTCGCTCCCCAACGGTATGTTTCGAATCCGATTAGACAACGCCGACACTATCATCGGCTACATTTCTGGGAAAATCCGAAAGAAATTCATTCGAATTTTGATCGGAGACAGAGTTAAGGTTGAGGTCAGCCGGTACGACACCACTAGAGGTCGTATTGTTTTCAGGTATAAACAGGATGACGACCCAAGCAAAAGAAAGATGAAGAATTCCGAAATGAAAAATAAATCCAGGAAGGATCCTATGGACTCTCCCTAAACTAATATTTGTTTTTGGTTTTTTTTTTTTTTTTGTTGCGAGTGACACTGAAACATTTGTGTTTTGAATTGTGAATGCTGAGAATTTGTTTTGTGTTATGTAATTTGAGGTTGGTCACTGAAATCTCGATTTGGGTTGCGAATTCGAATGTAGATTCTTGTGTTTGTTATCCATGGTTTTGGTTTTGGTTGAGAAATTGTAGTGAGAATTGATCCTATGGAGAAATCTTGGTGTAAACAAGAGTGGTGTTGCAAATGTAGGTAAGGAGAGTAGTGTTAGATTTCTGCTTCTGTCCTCAATGACATCTTATTAGGCGAAAAATTTTCGATGTTGAGGGAGGGGGAATCGAGCACAGAAACTTGAGTGCATCCAAGAGTGCGAATGCATTTGTTTTGTGGGAACAGTGGCATGATTTTCTGGTTCAATCTTCTATTCATATGACAATAGAATGCATCTTTGAGAGGACTTGGATTCGTCGAGTTTTGGTCATTGTGTTCATCGGTCATTCTTCGATCAAAGGTCTCGGAATGGTTCAGTGAGTTACGGAGTAAGATGGTTGTCCCATCTCCCTCTGTTCTGTTTTACTTTGCATATTTTGGAATTCCAACAAAGCTCCTTAACAATTGTCGTTCATGAATTTTGAGCTCAAAACCCTTGTCAATAAAAATAGAGAAGTTTTCCTAGAAATCCTCCATTGAGGAGATTGAAGAGAATTATGTGCATCATGGTTTTATGTTTAATTCGTGTCATTTATCAAGGCTAGGACTCTTTTAACATTCATTTTTTTCTTTTGAATAAACGATATTGTGCATGTTAAGGGGATGGGGTGGGCTGAGTCTCACAATGAGCTAGCAATAATGTGGTTCAAATTCGTTTTTAGCGGGAATTGAACATAAGACCTTTCATAACATTCCTACACCAATTTTTGCACAAGACTTTTGAAATGCATAATCTAACCTTGTCTGGAAAGAAGTAGTCGTTAGGGTTGTAAGATGTGGGCCTTTGGTCCTGTGTACAGGCCTCTAAGGCTTAGGGCTTTCCCTTACTCCTGACTCTTGAGGCCATTTGAACCACTGGAATTATCATGAGTAGATTCATTCCTAAAGATACCATTCCGCGAACCTAAGGGGACAACGAGTACATAATTTTGGAAAAAAAAGTCACACAAAAATTATATTTGGCAATACTTGTACGTACGTAATACAATTGCCGTCTTGACTCGTGTCAATGAAGTCAATGATAGTTTTTGACAATTGTTACTAGTACTCCAAAATAGTCATCTTCCACATCAAACTCCCACACGATGTCAACAGATTAGTATCTGGTGTATTGAGCTACTTAGTTCCTTTTTATGATTTGACTTGCTTATCCATGGTTAAATCTTGGTTTATTTGCTTACGCTTCTGGTTTTTATGAAGTGGGATCTTTGGTTATGGTAAATGGATGATGGCTCGTTCGTTGTCTAGGATTAGGTTGGACTGGAAAAATCATAAAATTCAAGGTATATTTAAGGCTATATTAAATGCCTTTTCAGTCTGAACATATTAGAAGGGATCAAATATATATGTCACAAACTTATCTCTTGTAATCCTATTACATAATCAGAATGTTTCATTTATGAGTAATTAGTCTTTTACCTTCAACTCGACAAAATTTCTTGTCCAATCTTAAAAATGGAACGCAGGCATGCTATTATTTGATGGGATAAAAAAAAAAAAAAAAAAAAAGAAGTTTTCCTCTGGAAAATAGTCGGAAACTTGTTCATAAAACAACCACGTTTGAAATTTTGAGTAATTTATACAACTTGAATGTGAATTACAATGTCAGATATCTACAACAGAGTTTCGACAAATTGGGCAAGTTAGATGGTTCTTTAACCAATGATCAATACAGTCGGAATGAAACATGTGTTTGCACGCAAAAACACGACAGAACTCGCCGTCCACAAAATCCTCCAAGCAAATGGTACACCGGTCACTGCAGCAACTCGATGCTATGTCCCGGCCACCTTTGCAGTACGTCAAAGGCGGTGGGAGGGACTCTAGTGCATGAACTTGGAGAGCCTGAGGCCTTTGTTCTTGCCCTTCCTCCATCACCAAGTCCTCCCAAACTCTATCTAGCACTTCCATTAAAACCGTGTGGAACAATGTTACGATATCTTGTGCAGGTGCTTGTGGCAATGTGTCTTGATCATGGTGATGACGAAACCGGTCGTCTCCACCTTCAAATTCTTGATCGCTATGGCTTCTGTTTGGAAGCCAAGAAAGAATGGTTCCAACAATGTAATGCATCAAGGCAATGAGAAACAAAGCCGCAGTGCAGAGCGCTAAGTTGCGGATCCGAACTACAAGGCGGCTGAGAGTCGTTAATTTTGCTTGGCCTAGAAGAAACAAGAAGCTTGCAATTCCGAATGCAAAAATGCACGATAAAAAACTAAGAGGATTATGAGGAGATTGATGAAGAATTCTGCGATTAGAAATCATGGTGTTCATGATGAAGAACGTACCCTCGGTCGTAGTCCTGCAGTATTTTTGGTTTCTTGTTTGTTATTTGTTCATCGATGAAGTTGTTTTTCCAGAGCTGCCAAAACCCTTCTGGGAATTATTATTTTTGTTATGCAACTAATTAATTAACGTCAAGGTAGAGCAGGACACTAGAACCACAACTCTACTTTGTTCTGGATGCATTCCAAAAATAGGTGCACCTTTTTTTTTTTTTTTTTTAACTACCAAGGTAACGGCGGAGGTGAGATTTATTTTACCATGCCAGTAATGGCTTTGCAGTTGGGTACCGGCCGCCGCAACGGCAGTCGATCTGCATGTATGTTGCATGTTGTGAGGGGAAGTTACGCTATAACCAACACTTTTACTATTTAGTTTCCCGAGGGTTGTCTCAATTTCTTAATTTTATCATAAACCTAATTGGTTACTCCGGGTTACTTGGAATTACGTAACTAACCAAAGAATTAACAAGTGAAACTTGAGAGTTTAGGCAGGAACATAATTTATGACCTCAACTAATAGGAATCACGGGAATCGCAAACATTAGCCAAACTCGGTCGCTAGACGAAATGGAAACACCCAAATACGTACTACGTTTGTCTTGTGAAGTATAAATAAAGGTTATTTTATTGATACTTCACAACATTTTAGATGAAGTCTAAATAAGTGTTATTTTATTTAAATCTCGAAATTAGTCCAATTCTAAAATTCTGATTGAATAATATTTAGCTACTCAAAGATGAGTAGGAATTCCTACTTAAAATTTCTTAAAATTGTTCATTGTCAAATTATAGAATTTCGTATTTATAATCAAAACCGTTCATATTATAAATTACCATATAAAGATCACCTCTACAAAAAATCAATTAAAACTATGGTCGTTTAGTCATTAAACTATTTAAAAACAAATGAACGGTATTGGTAAAAGCATTATGAACCGTCTATGTATTGGCTACAATAGATTGACTAAACGACCTTAATTTTAATTAATTTTTTACAGAGATAATCTTTATAATATGATTTTGATCATAAGTACAAAGCTTCGTTACTAAAACACTAAGAATTTGAGTAGAAGTTCCTACTTATCTTTGAGTATCCAAGTACTGTTGATCTTGATTTCGGCATGCATTTATGAAATTCCATTTTTCAAAACTTTTTGAATTGGAGTTGGAAATATGTACTTTCTTGTCCAATTCAACACAAGATTAGGCCTGGTGTGAACTTAAAACTTAGTAAGCCAGCGTATACGTCAGTACTTACTACATGGGTATTATAAAGAATTCTCCCAAGCATCAATATAAAGAAACATTTTTCTAGTGAAATGTGAAAGAACAAAAGGTATTATATTTACAAGTAGATAATAATTGGGTACTCACTAGTGAGTACTTACGTCAAATAATAAATTAACACATATTTTATTATTTTAAAAAATAACAATGTATCATTAAATTTTGGAAGTACTTTTACTCAACACCATAACTATGGTATATACTCTTCATACACCTCATCATCTGACACATGTTTTTTCAACTTTGGTTAACTAATATTAAATGTTCCTTTTCCAATTTCAAACAAAAATTAGCTATGATTAAGTGAAAGATTACGTGTCAGATAATGAGATGTATGGTGAGCATACATTATAGTTTACGGTGATGAGCAAAAATACACCCTTAATTTTTCTTGAGCATTAAAACAAGGAACATGTGATATTTTTTTATTGGACCAAACCAAAAGGTGAGTACATATATAAAATATTCACTAGTGAGTATGTATGTATTATCCTTTTCAATTTACTTTTTCTACAAATAATATGGGATTGAAGATAAAATGTGCACATCCTTTTACGAAGCTGAGAAACCAATCAAGCATAATCAAGGGGAAAATCGAGCATAATCATACTCAAACACACTTAGTGCGTCATTTATGGGAAAGAGACTTGAATGAAAGAAACACTATTATTTGGCATTCCAAATCAATCACGTGTTGTTATGTATTGAAAATTTTTCATTTGTCAATAAGCAATAGATTTACGATGCCGGATCCTTTGTCTCCATTTCATGTAAGCCATGAGATGCAACCGAATGGACATCGTTTGAGACACAAAAGCTCCTTGAAAATTCATTTTCAAAAACTTCGCATGAGATTGAAGCACTATCCAACCCTGGATGAGAGCAATCCTCAATTCCTCAACATTATTTGACCGCCACCGTCATACTTAAGTGGCCTTGAAACTTGGGAACTTTGCTCGAACCACCTAAAACTTGTTACTAACAAACATCTAGTCCGTCCACCTGACCTCGCCGGAGAACCAAACCCCATCGCAACTTACTTTGACAAATCTATGTCCTCGACGTTGCCAATATTGGAGAGAGAACGGTACTCCACCTTGGTAGGCTCTTGCCGAATACGACAGTCCAACCAAAAATAATGATTAAAAAACGCCTTGTACAATATTTTCGCGTAGACACATGCCAGCCTCATAAATCCAACACACAATTACGACAAATCGGGCAAGTTAGGCTCTTCTTCAACCAAGTGTTCATGCAGTTGGAATGGAACGTATGATTGCATGAGGGAAAAACTTGACACAATTGATCGGTCTCAAAATCCTCCATGCAAATAACACAATCTTTACAGTTAATTTTAATTTCTTGGCTTCCATAAGCTA